ACTACGTTTCATTATAAAGTGGGCATAATTAGGCCTGTTTAATAGGATTTAGTGCAGTGCAGTTTGTAAAACATTGAAAAATAATCATTGCAGTTGTTGGTTATTTTTATTATTATTATAGCGTTTTTATATGTGGAACTTTACATGTTCTGTTTTCTCTGTTCCAACTTGTTAAATCTCAGAAAAATTCAATATCATGATGCACATTGTGCATTGTAAAAATGTCTTGAAGTATTGTGATCTAATATTTTGGCCATATTGCCCATCCCTACACCTATATGACTCGTGAAAAAATAAACTAAACTTAATAACTGGTTGTGCGTCAGTAAGTGCAACCCGACGCTGCCTATAACTGGAGATCAGTCTTTCATGTTGCTGTGGAGGAATTTTGGCCCACTCTTCTCTGCAGAATTGCTTTAATTCAGTCACATTGGAGGGCTTTCAAGCATGAACTGCCCGTTTAAGGTCCTGTCACAGCATCTCAGTGGGTAGATAACTATAGATAACTATAGATACATGACTAGACTCCAAAACCTTGATTTTGTTTCTTTTAAGCCATTCAAAGGTGGAAAACCCAAACCCAACGATCCTGGACTGCCCAATGACTGGACATTCTTGGGCAGGGTTTTCTGCTAAAGAGCAGAATTAATGGGAATTCATACCACTATAGTAAGTCACCCAGGCTCTGAAGCAGCAAAGCATCCCCACACCATCACACTACCACCACTATGTTTGACTGTTGGTATGATGCTCTTATTGTTATGCTGTGTTTGCAACTCTCCCATGGGTACCATTTTGCCAAATCTCTTTCCAATGGTGGATTCATGAACACTGACCTTTTCTAAGGCGAATGAGGCCTGCAATTCCTTAGATGTTTCCCTGGCTTCTTTTGTGACCTCCTGGATGAGTCATCACTGTGCTCATGGAGGAATTTTGGTGGGCCAGACACTTCTGGGAAGATTCACCACTGTTCCAAGTTTTTGCCATTTAGAGATAATGGCTCTCACTGTGGTTTTCTGAAGCCCCAGAAAGGGCCTTGGAACGCTGATATATTTAATAACTTTTTCTCATCCAGAATTTCTTTTGATCATGGCTTAGCGTGCTACTTGTTGGGGCCTTTTAGCCTACTTCACTTTGCTGGAAGGTTTCTATTTTATGGATGCTTGGATTCAACCGCGCTGGCAGTAATCAAGTAACAAAATTACCATTTCAGAGATGCATGCTTTTATTGTGATAGCGACAATGTACGTCATTTGAAAATGTTATAGCTGTTAACTTATTGTGTCTGTACAATATCATAAACTGATGATGAATTGTTTTGAAGAATGATTCATAACAGTGCATGTGCATTTGCCAAGATGATGTCAGTGTACTAAGCCTGCGTTTCATGATTTTAATTGGTTAGACCAGGTGTGCCTGCTCTAGAGGGCTGAAGTCCAGGACAGTAAATTCCCTTCTCAAAAAACACCTACTAAACCTGTTGATTAACTCTGTGAGGACCATCATTGTGTAATGAAAATCTTACGTTTAAATGTATAATATGTAATGTAAAAGTAAGAGCCTGTGTTATTTAATCCTTAGAATTTTTTTTGTGGTTTGTGTTTGTGCTGAAAAAAAATTATATTTTCAAACATACATTCATGAAACATGAAAATTAGGAGGTATACATAGTTGGCCAGAGCAATTATGGACCTCAGAGGGTCCACTGATGAGTTGAATCAGGTGAAATCTCAGACAAAAAAACTTCAGACTTCAGCCCCTCAGAGCCAGAGCTCGGGTCTTCTTGTGGAATGCAATAATAACACTGTTGGGTTAGTCCCTCAATGGCACAATGCTTGACCCAGAGGAACCCAATTGCGCTCCTGGAGAGCCACAGTACAGCACAGTTGCTCTAACACATCTGATCCAACACATCAGTTAATCACCGGATTTAGAAGATGTGTTTGAGCAGGGAAAGCATCAAAAGTTCTAGGAGCCCCTAGGACTAGAGCTCAGCACTGCTGAGGTCAACTTTGATTAAGGTCATTTTTTGGAATGCTTTTGTGGGCTGATGCCGACATCCAATATTTTTCATGTGCACATCTGTCAGTGCTAATATTGATTATTTATTATTATTATTATTATAAGGTTACAAATGCAGTGAAATGAGTAAAATGTAGAAAATAGCTCAATGAATGCATCAAATATCAGCTTGGAACATCAGTGAAATCCAAACATCTGTCCAATGTTTTTAAAAGCAGTTGTCTGCCGATATTGCTATGAATCTGAAGTTAATCTTCTGCCCCTTGTCTGTCTGCCACTTCAATTGATTACAGTCAAAAGAAACACTGAGAATGTTTGTATGGAGGCAATGGTTAACCCAGACTGAATGATACCCAGCTGTGGTCCTGGAGAGCCAATGTTCAGCACACTTTGGTTATTTCCCTCTTCAAATACACTAGATTCACCTCATCAGTTGATCAGCAGGTTTAGAAGATCATTAACTGTGCTGAACTGCTCTCCAGGACTAGAGTTGGGGTCCTCTGAGGTCAGCTTTGACCAGAACCTTCTTACAGAGTGCTATAATAAAAGTGCTGAGCTAACCTTTAGCCACTTGTAGCCCTACAGTTCAAGTACGGTCAACGGTAACAAGGAGAACATGCAATGGCTCAATGGCTTTATCTAACCCAGAGGACTCAAGCTTGGGTACTGAATGATTTGCCTGCTCAACTACACCTGATTTACCTCATCAGCTAAAAGTCATTTAGAATGGATTGATGGGAAATGGTTCATTGTAGAGAAACTTACCACGCCAGACTTGTTCACAGTGGTGGTGATAGGAACCACATGTCTGAATACTTCTAAAAGCTACGTCAGAAGGTTATTACATGAAATGATTATGTTGCCAGGTGCCTGAGATGTTGTTTAATGATAGTGTGGCTACAGCATAGAGTAAGACACAGGGGAGGCCATGATTCTGCTGTGAGAAGTGCAAATTTATTAAACACCAGAAAAAAAGAGAAGGCAGGTCTACTCTAGCCATGCAGTTCCACTTCGCAACACAACCCAATCTAACTAAGCCCACTCCCCAACATCCCGTCCAGTAGCAGGATGCCACAAAAAATCTGGCCTCAAATATAGTTTTTAAAGTACATTCAGGGTGTTGGCAAAATAGCACCCAAAGAAATACATATTTTCAGATTGACCACTATTTTATAATTATTAGCATTATATATCAAAAACCTACAAGACACATGTAGGTTTACTGCTGGTTTTGGATAGTAAATGGAATGGCTATATTTGTGTTTTAGACACTACAACCCTGGTTCCTATCACCACCACTGATAAGGTTGTCTACAATAAACCATTTCACATCAAACCACTCTGAAGGACTTGATGTACATCCCAGCGATTGAATTATGTTGAGATTTTGAAAAAATTGGTGCAATTCCAGAGGAGCAGCCTGTGATTGTAACCCTTAGAGACCAGATTTTATATCGTGAGGCTTTTGGGCCTTGTAATAAAACCCCTGAGCTAAGCTTGAATTCAGATCAGTTTCAGTCAAGGGAAACAAGAACATTTACATGCAGGTAATGGCTGTGGACTGCGAGGAGCCCAGTGTTGGTCCTGGATGGTGTCCAGTACAGTTTAAAGATTGTAGGTGTGTTTCAGCAGGGCCAAACAAATGACCAAACTGCTGGTCTCTAGCTCTACAGGACCACAGCTGGACACCCCTGGAGAAGCCATGGCACCAATGGCAGCCCCACCTCTTCCTTCTATTCCATTTGAAAACTCCAAAGGCCACACCCACTGGCCCCAGTCTTCACTTGCATCCTTAGAGGGGAACTCCACAGATTTTTCAAAATTTCTGCATGATGACATGGTTAACATATCAACAGTCTTTCAGAGCGGTTTGGAGTGAAATGCTCTGTTCTAGAGAAACTTACTGAGTCAGTATTGTTCACAGTGGTAGTGATAGGAACCAGACGTTCACTTCTAAAAGCTCCTTCACAGAAAGTTATTACATTAAATTGTTATGAATACACTGCCTGATGTCTGAGACATAGTAAATAAAATGTCTGTATTTGTGTCATAGACATTGTGACCCCTGGTTCCTATCACCACAACTGTGAAGAAATCTGAGTCTCTAAGTTTCTCTACAAATGAATTACTTCACATTAAACTAGAGTGAGATATACAGGGGGTTCTGGGCAATCTGGGACCCCCTAATTAACCTCTTGGACCTCTTGAATGTCTCAAAATCAAAATTCTAGGGGGTCCCTGAAAATATGGCATTATGCTGGAAAAATGCAAATTCAGGGAAAGGTTGCTTAGCCTGCTTCATTCAGGAAACAGGAAGCTTCTGTCTCGGATCTTCTTAACTAACTAGAGCTGCAGCACTGCTCTGCCTCAGGGTGGTGCTGTAGCAAACTAGTTCACCCAGTTGAGCCTTCATATCCTAGTAACTGTAACTCTGCCCAGGACGCCTCTGAAAAACTTCACAGTATGCTTTAACATATTTGCAAGTCTGAAAACATGCCCAGTTTCCCAACATGAGACCCCCTAAATACCAGGGGGGAGTCGCACACTGCATCAAGCCAGTCTGAATGACTGTTTACATCAGGGGTGCACCATCCCGTTCCTGGAGGGCCGGCATCCAGCACAGTTTGGTGATTTACCTGTTCCAACACACCTGATTACACTTACCTGTTAATTGCTAGGTTAAGTGGGTGTGTTTGAGCAGGGAAGCCTCCAAACTATGCTGGACACCGGCCCTCCAGGACTGGCGTTGTGCGCCCCTGGTTTACATCTTGATCTCTGAATTATGGAGAAATTCTAAAAAATCGGTGGAGTTCCCCTTCAGCCTTCCAAACAAAGTCTGGTGAGGCCACGCCCACTCGCCCCGCCCACCGGCGCTCCAGCACGCGCCGCTCTTTCCCCCCACCTTCAGTTCTCCTGACTCTTAACCTCCCTCACCATCCGGACTGTCAAACCTGGCACCGCTCTTCTCGCCCTCGACCATGCGCGCGCTCCTCGCCGTGACGCTGCTGCTTCACGCGGCCGTTCACGGACTGCACGTGTTCGACCAGCCGGGTCTTTTCAGCCAGCGGAGCCAGTGCAAGCCCATCCCGCCCTCGCTGCACCTGTGCTACGAATTCGAGTACGCAGACATGCGCCTGCCCAACCTGCTGGGTCACGAAGCCATGAACGAGGTGCTGCAGCAGGCCGCCTCGTGGGTGCCGCTCGTGCAGAAGCGCTGCCACCCGGACACGCGCAAGTTCCTCTGCTCGCTCTTCGCGCCTGTGTGCCTGCAGGACGTAGACGAGCCTATCCGGCCGTGCCGCTCGCTCTGCGAAGACGTGCGCCGCGGCTGCGCCCCCGTCATGGCCGCCTTCGGCTTCCCGTGGCCGGAGATGCTGCGCTGCGCGCGCTTCCCGCCCGACGACGACCTGTGCATCCCCGCGGGGGAGAGCGGAGAGCACGTGACCAACGTGACCGTGACAGGTGAGCTACTTGCCCTGCTAGAAAAAAACAGCAGCAAAACCAGTATATGTTGTGTTTTGGATACTGGCATTCTCGTTAACCAGCGTGACCATGCAGGGTGCCCAGCTAAAACTAGCAACAGATCATCATAAAACAGCTTAGAACAGCATGGAATTTATTTTTCAATTGGGCAGTAAAGATTACATCATTGCTCACGGCTGTTTACTCAGTGTTGTTCATTCAGTTAGTGTTCTCCAGTGTTTACATGATGTGAAGGTTCTTTAAACTTTAAAACGGTTCTTCACATTCAGATATCTCACTTGCAAAAATGACATCACCAAAGGGTCACCAACAATCAGCAAAAACCATTCAGGAGCTAAAACCGTTCAATTTGGTCAGATTTTTATTGCAGAAACCTAAATGCATTTTCATTTCAGTTTCAGGTGATGCTTGCTACTGTATGAGCTCTTTAAAGGAGCAAACATGAGTAGTGTGGAGTTGAAATTGAAAGAGAAGCACAGTTCATTGTGGTAGAACATTCCACAGTTTAGAGGTCATGGCACTGAAAGACCTCAACAGTGTTTGTAGGTACTACCCAGGTAGCCAGAACATCAGGATACTTAAAGACATTTCCACAACTACGATATGTTTCTGAGATTTACGAACAAGTTTGGACAGACAAATTGCACAATTATCATGACATGTCATCACACCGTCCACTCATATGGCTATTTGCAGCTGACTGAGAACTTCGCCAAGTGAGGTTTGAATGCATTTTTGTTTTTTTTAGCAGCCAATTAAAAAAAAAGATTTATAGTAGTCACTACAGGAGAAAGTGGAAGCACTGACCAGTGTTTCAGTATCTTTTAAGTACACTCTTAAAAAAGAAGGTTCCTGAAAAGGGTTTTCTCTTGGACATATGGATTCAGGAAGAACCTTAAATTGGTATAGAAAATATACATTATGTGGAGCTTCTTAAAAGCTTAAAAACACAAACATCTAACTTACAAATCTTTTTTTTTTCCTCTCCAGTCTTGTTTATTACAGCAAACAGATACAATACAGAGTGTGTTAATATTATGTATAATGCAGTACAATAACATACTAAGTTCAAAAAGAGAAATTAAAAAAGCAACAATTTAAATACAGTAAATAAGAAATATCAACAGTACTGCAATCAATATTATCAACATTAATACCAAAGGTGACAGAAAGGTACAGAAAGACAGTCCCATTCACCATAACCTACTCCATTTCAACACTGTAGCACATCCCTAATAGCTGGTTTAGTGTAATAACTTACAAATCTTTGAAGAACCATCTATTGAAAGGTTCTTTGAGAAGGCGTACCTGATTCTTCTATGGCATTGCTTCAGATATTCTTTTTTGGCACCTTTAATTTTTAAAGTGAGTGCAGTGTTAAGGAGATGAAAAATTGCATTTTGGGTGCGGAAATTGAAATGGGGTTCAAGTGCAAGTGAAGAATCTCAACAGAGAAATGGGATGAGATACTATAGATTAGTGTATGTATTCTTTTTACAACAGCAATAGAAAATCTGTTAATAGGCTTAATTATTTATAAGTGGGAAACTGAATAGAAGCTTTGAATAAAATGACTGATACTCTTTGAGGACATTGTCATATATCAGCAAAAAGGAGTATATTGAATTGAATGAATACGTGATTTTGAGTGGGGAATTATAATTGGAGGAGCAGTTGAGGTATTAAACGTACTCTAAGAATACTGCCTTGTAAAATCTTACCTGCTGGCCCCAGGGATGGAGCATGGTCTTTGAAGGCCCACAACACCCCCCCGACCCCTCCAACCCCCCACTTACAATAACTTACGATAACACTCCAACAGTAATGCAGTATGCCATAGTGTCTTCATTGTATCACTTTTTTGTAAATAATTTTTGTGCACGATTTGAATCATTACTTGTTCTCTTTTTCTTGCATGCCAAACTGAGTCAAAAAGCAAAAATATGAAAGGCTACAATAAAATCCCACGAGTCAATAATAAATGAAAGCAGAAACCTGCCTGGAAACAGATAACATTCTTCATTTATTTCATTTATTTAGTCACACTTTAAAGGGTTATTGTTTCAGTTAATGTTTACATCTGGAGTTGCACTTTCCCCACTGGCCCATTCAGAAGTTCATCCCTGGTTGGCCCATGATACCTGAATCCACTTTAAATTCCAAAAGCATCATTGAAACCATCAAGAGATGTTCTTATTCCATGGGTAATGAAAAACACATACATTTTTGACCAAATACATTTCTCAAATAAGATCATTTTCACTACAGTTTAGTGAATGTCAAAGCCTTATTTCCAGCTTGATATTGATTTTCTGCAGAACTAGAGAATAAACATTCTTCCATCTTGAATAAGTGTGCCACAGTATGTTTTGCCTTTTCATCTTTTAAATGTTTCCAAAGATAGTTCAATGGTATTGGCGTCTCTTTTAGAAAAAGGATTTCTCAAATAACTGAAAAAAATGGATTTGTCTCAGTTTTACATAATGTGCTTGAATATTAAACATTGCCTGAGTACAACTGTGTATTTGTTTAAACGACGAATGAAGGTTCTTGGTGGTGAGCTCACTGTTTCAGTTTTTGGTTGCTCTTCTCCAGCACAGAGTTTGTTTCTTTGTAACTTGCGATTTTTTTTCAATAAAAATGTACATTGAGACACTTTCCTTTTAACTCCACCACCCTGGGAAATTTTTTTAATAGTGTTACCCAGGATGCTTTCGTTTAGGGTTGAGAAGGCCATTTAACATTGACATTTAGGGTTTAAAATGACCTTTGGATTGATCTCTTTTTAGTGCCAAAAGTTTGTGATGCCTGCAGAGAGAAGACAGAGGATGACAATGAAATTGTGGACAGCCTTTGCAAGAATGATTTTGGTAAGTGATGGGAGTGTTTTCTTTCATCTCCATTTTGCTGTTTTTTTACATAATCTGAAAAGGCCAACTGCCCTTTGTATGTCAAAATTGGCAAATAGAACAATTACTTATAATAAGCCTTCTCATGTAAAGTTTATTTGGAGATTTGAAGGTTCCGACAGTGACAATACGCTCAAAGAGTTAACATTGGAAATTTCAAGTGAAAATGTTCATTGCAGCGCCATGTTCATTGCAGCATTTACTTTGATTCAACCTTCTTTAGAGTATTGTAACTGGGTGGTGCAAATTTAACAGGAATGTCGTGTTAACAAGCTTTTTGGGGTCGTTAACAAATGACCCCTCCACCTGACTCCACCCCCTGTATACATAATGTTAAAATACTTACATATTTGGAATAGAAGATTTAGAATTTTACCCAAGAAGATTCTGACAGGATTCCTTAAAATTGTGTTATTTAGCGACAAGTGAAGTTTCATGAAGTTTCATGACGGTTCATTAATGTCTATTTGTTATGCACTTTAACTCTATATACATTAGACAAGTTAGTGGTACACCATATAAGTAAACAGTTGAGTCACAACTTTCATTGTACCTTAAAGTCAACATGAATCGGAAATCATAATCATTACCATTGAGTCTCAAGGAGTATCAAGTAGGGTCTCTGAGCTAGGTCACTATTTTCGCTCAGTGATAGGTGGAGGTGGTGGGAGGGGCCGGTGAAACATGATATTTTTGGTTATTATAGTTTTTTTCCCACCCACTGGTGCACGATGATGTAATCAAAACTCGTAAGACATTTTGAGGTGCCCAAAAGTCACTACATTTTGATAGAAGATTCTTGAAAAATAACATGAAGAGTGCTTAATGATGATTATTTATTTTTCACAAAAGCTCAGCTGGTGCTGGCCAGCCTACAGTCCATAGCTATGTCACCATACTAAATGTCTCACCTCTGTGCTGTAGCTCTGAAGATCAAGGTCAAGGAGATCACCTACTTCAATGGCGACACGAAGATCATCCCAGAGACCAAGAGTAAGACTATATACAAGCTGAGCGGAGTCACCGAGCGAGACCTGAGGAAGACAGCGCTGTTGCTCAAAGATGGAATGCAGTGCGTGTGCGAAGAGATGAACGACCTCAACGCTGCTTACCTGGTGATGGGCCAGAAGCAGGATGGAAACCTGGTCATCACGTCGCTGAAGCGCTGGCAGAAGGGTCAGCGTGAGTTCAAGCGGATCTCCCGCAGCATACGCAAGTTGCAGTGCTAAGGATGGGCGCCTGCAGTCCATCTGGACAGCTGGCGGCCAGAGACGTCCAGCAACTTTCATAGATATCTCCAAAGTTGACCCCACAAACTTCAGTGCTTTTCCACAGTGCTATGTACCACCATAGAACCTAACTAATAAAGCATGGGTCTTATTTTAGAAACACAAATTAAGGTTGAGTGTGGGCTGCACAGGGTTTTTCAACTAAGGCACATTTTAAAGCCATGCGTCATTTTTCTGGGCACAAAGAGGGGAATCAGATCGATGCTTAGTTTGTGCCCAGAAAACTGCCACATGGCTTTCTAAATATTGTCCCATAGAACTCATAAATATGGTGCTATAGAGATCAGCCAGTGGGTCAGATTTCTCCCTCCTGTACTTCATCACCATCTCGTCCAGACGTTAGAGTGAACTAATACAGATAGACTCACTACCATACCAAAAAAAATCAGGCTATAGGACTTTAAGTGGAACCTTTAAGTGGACGTTTTTTTCGAAGAACCCTTTTATAACTCCAAAGAATATTTTAGAAGCATTTAAAGAACCTCCGTATAATGTAAAGGTTCTATTTCAATTCTTTTTTTTTCCAGAACTGTACATCCAAGCCAAGAATGATTGAGGAACCTTTATATTTAAGAGAGAAGAAAAACACACTCAGTGGTTCTGTTTAGAACCATAAGCACTATATAGAACCATTTGGATCCTTAAATGGTTCTTGGCATGGTGAAATAGTTCTTCAGATTGATGGAGAATGCGTGATGGTTCTATATAGAACATTTTTGAAAATGGTAATATATAGCACCAGAAAGGTTCCTCTATGGTTATGATGTCAAGCTTGAACCATATACAACACATTCTCCATCAATCTGAAGAACCATTTCACCATGCAAAGAGCCATTTAAGCATGCAGATGGTTTTGTATAGAACACATGGTTCTAAAAAGAACCATTGTCTTTACTAAAGACCCCTTGAAGAACCAGCTTTTTTAAGAGTGCAGATGTGCAGCATTATTATCAGTGTTGGGGCAGTTACTCAAAAGGGAAACCATTACAAATGACTAATTACTTCAAACTGTAATGAGATTACCATTCATTATGTTACTTCTGTGTTAGTCATGTTCTCAATGTGATTGACGCGCAGTTGGCTGTAGCAGGTAGCACTTGCACATGCACACGCAAATTACATACACAGACTAGCACTAATAATCTTTTTACACGAAATGTATGTTTTAAAAGCACTGTGCGTTGTTAATATGGCTCTTTTGGAGCCAAATGAGTGATGCAAGTAGCAAAATTCTTATCAAATCAGTAACTGGAATGTGATTAGAAGAATTTCAACTGTAATGTGTTACTCTACTTTGTAACAGGAAAAAGTAATCACATTACTGTAACATGTTAAATTGTATGGTGTTACTCCCAACACTGTTTAGTGTTACATCACTACCACACTCTTAAAAATGAAGATGCCAGAAAGAATTCTTTATGCAAAGCCATAGAAGAACCACGGAAGAACCTTGGAGTGGATGGTTCTTTCGAGAAACCTTTGGGAAATGACGTGTGAGTGTGCAAAGGTTCTAGAAATGACCCTAGATTGGTGTACAACCTTTACATTACAGTTCTTTAAAGGTTCTTCAAACATTTAAAAAGGTTCTCCACACTCACAAATCTCTTTGAAGGTTCTTGGCTGGGAATCAGAAGTTCTTCTATAGAATTGCTCAAAGAACCTTTTGTGTCACCTTCGTGCATCTTTGTTGCTATGCTTGCTAAACTATAAAGTCATTGTCCTTCCCAACTATCTAAACTCTTCTAATCTCCTCTAATCTAATCTAGTTATAGCTCTCTAGGTCTCTGGCACTTGTGCTCATACATCACACCCAAGAACCTTTAAGGATTTTTTTTTTTTGCCTGTAGAAACTCTTTTGAAGCATTTATCAATTCACTCATGAGCGCATAGAAAACCTTGCTTCCCTACAGAGACTAACTGTCCAAAAAGGCAATTAGGGCTACAAATTTAGCCTAGTGTCAGACTGAAAAGGGTGGAGACTCCTCGTTTAAAGTGTAACTTAGTCCGAGACTAGACTTAATCTCCGTTTAGAAAGCTGGTACTGAGGATTTCTCTGGATATAGTAGTATATTGTCACTGTCGGAAACAAAACCTCCGATCTCCAAAATAAGCAGCTTTACAGGAGAAAGAAAAAACCTTCCAGTGTAAGTTAATGTAACAAGATTTCATTCAAAGTCATTCTGTTGGTCTGTTCGTCGTGCAATTTTGACACAATGTAAAGAGCAGCTGGTATTTTCAAATCATAAAAAAAATGGAGAGACAAGGTTTTGTTCCAACAGCAATGATGTAAATCAAATGGGGGGGTTTCCAAAACTCATAGATGAGTGGGTGTATTGCAGAGGCAGTAGGATACAGCATGTATGCAAAGTCAGAGTCTTGCTGATCTCACGTATAACAGGTCCAAGCGTCGTACCTAGTGATGTGATGTCATTGTAGGGGTAGGTCTTCCTCTAGATCTACAGTTATTACCAATCAGCAGTACACATTAACATGCTACGCTTCAGTTATGAATGGTTTGCATGGCTTTTTTCGGACTGGCAAAAGAGCTTTAATGAGTGTGTTTGCGTGTGTGGTTTTTCTACAGATACTTTTTATCAGCGCAGTGAGAGATAGCTGGCTATATTCTCAGTGTTTAAACCATATAAGTGTGACTTTGAGCGTTTGCGTGAAAACCTTCCCCCCTTTCCCCAGACTAGATCGAGACACATATGTTGATTAGACCCAAAGTGCATGAATTTGATTTCTTATTATATATTTTTTCAGTGTTTTTGCCTTTTGTGTACTTGAGACTAAATGCTGCACTGTTTCCATGTAATATTCTTCAAACCGCAATGGATGATTATCTAATATTTGTTTATTTCCTGTCTCTGTCAGTTATAATATTGGTTTTATACAATGTAGGTCTGGTTTCTATTATATTGTCATGGGTTTATGCGGTGGTCCTGTTCTTTGGCCATGCGATCTCTTCATATTAGAGTGGAGTCACAAAATATTAAAACCCCAGAAACGTAGACTTTGTTCTGGTACATGGTCAAAATGACTCCAAACTCCATTTTATTACAACAAAGTTAAAGCTACGGTATTGTCATCAGATCCCATTTTTTGTGTCACTGTAAATAGTCCGATAAGATGTTTATTCTTGTACATAGTTTTCAGGGGCAGCAAATCAAAAATCAGACAAGATTTTGTGAAAGTTCTGGTTCATTCATTACAAAGATATTGTATTGTTGACCTTATTATAACGCAGTTAAACAGGCACATTTATTTTCATGCACTGCTATGGTATGTAATTTTATAATGCTTTAATTTGTACGGTGATGCAAACATTTCACACGAGTCAATAAATAAGTGAATACAAAGTGGTTTGTCTGTTTTGCATTGAGAAGACTTACAGTCTATCAGAGAATCAAATAAAGCATGAATAACGTTTAGACTATTTAATCCCTGGAAATTTCTCAAAACGTAAACATGGGGTCTGCGCAATTTGTGGACTTTAGTGTCCCCTAGTGGTGCAATTTTTATTTCCATTTTTTTCCAGAGACAATATACACGTTCCTGGACAAGACTTAGGCTATTTTCATACACTATACATTTTATTTTTACTAGAACATTCCACCAAAACTGGCCACAACTATTCTAAATTATCTTTGTTTTAAGGACCAGACAATAGTATGTTTTAAAAGATTCACTGTTTATTATAGACCACTCCTCATTTAATTTCATATTTTATTCATTTTTAGTCTCAGGTAAAATAGCAGAAAACATATTTAACAGAAAATTGCACAGAAGCCTCAGCAAATAAATATGATATTAAATATTTCAGTATTTATTGTGTCCGCCTTTATCACGCCTTCCATTCTTTTCAGGAGACTCAGTTTTTTCAAAGAAATCTGCAGGGATATTTTTACAAACCTCCAGAAAACACCATTACGATTGAAAGAGTTGAAGATAAAAGAGGAAGAGGACAAACAGCTACAAGATGGATGGATACAGTCAGAGGAATCATGAACCAACCATTAAGAGGCCTGAAGACCCCAACAGAAGACAGGATATTCTGGAGAAACACTATCGATATGGTTCCCGGGAGCTGGAAACAACTTGATGGCACTTAATAATAATAATAAAGTTCAGTCTTAGAAGGTGGTTGCATTTTCTACTTCTCATCATCCAAATAATCCCAAACACACTCAGTGATGTTGAGGTCTGGACTCTGGGGTGGTCAGCCCGTTGTTCTGAGAACACCAGCAGCTTCTTTGTTTGATTTGCAATTTTTCCTGTTATATCTTATCTCTTCAGAAATATCTTCTGAAAATGAACAGCTTGTACTTAATGGCTGTTTTAACGGTAAGTAAATGAAGAGTGGTCTCTGACTTTTGGGCAGTACTGTAATTGAGTATGTTTACATGTAGAAACCTTTTAACTCTTCCTCATGTTCCATACGTCCACTTTGATTTAAATAAGTTTTTGACCCAGTACCCACACCTTCACTTAAGTCTAGTTTCTCTGTACAGTTTACACCACATGTGTCAGGCTCTAGTCCTCGCGGGCCAAAACAGACTTAAGGCTTAAGCACACTGCCTCAATAAATACACCTGATTCAGCTCATCAGCTGCTTAGCAAGGCCTTCATTAACTGAATTCAGAGTGTCAGATGAGCGTAAATGCTCCACAGCACTTTGGCCTGGAAGGTGCCCAGTTTGACATGCCTGGTTTACACCTTATGTCATCTTGTTTAATTTATTTGCTTATAAAGTATGTAATTTGTTTATTTTTGTCACTCATAAAATAAAGCATTTCATCTGTGAATCTGCTTTTGTGAATCTATGACAAAAGTAAACTATGTGGTGGATTTGATTCTACCTTCAGATAATGGTACTAAAGCCCTAAATAGGACAAATAAAAGATAATTATGTAGTTGCTATTATTCTTTATAATAATTTAAGTCTTAAATAGCACAAATAGAACAGATATGTCACATAAAAAGATTTAAATATTCTTTATGTTACATTTAAATGTGAGCATTCTACAAAATAAAGCAAGATTAGAAAAAATGCTGATTATGTTTAGGTATACACTCTATGCACAAGATGGTTCTTCAAGGGTTCTTTAGTAAAAGTGGTTCTACATAGAACCATTTCAAGCTTAAATGGTTCTTTGCATGGTGAAATGGTTGAGATTGATGGAAAATATGTTGGATATGATTCTATATAGCACCAAAAAG